ATATATACACCTATATATATATATATGTGTATATTTATATATATATATATACTAATTAGCGTTAACATACAAAATAAATCCAAAAATAGGCGTATTAGAAACATAAACTGAAGTTAGTTGTGTTTAATGGGTTTAAGAATGACCTACAGCCATCAGTCGCTTAATAGTGCTTCTTGGCGCTTACTGAGTCATGGGCCCAACAGTTTCCTGATAATTGTTATTGATATTCTTATTATTATTTCGATATTAATTATTGCAGCATACAATATAAAAAGTGTGATCAAAAGGTACGGTTATAAGTTTCATGAATAATCTTATTAAATTTAGTTGATAGTTGGTGAACAGAAACAAAACACAATTCACCTGGTGTAGAAAATGAGCCAATCTCTTCCGAAGGCCAGCGAATTAATTTTCTGAGTTTCCATCCTAATTAACTTATTAGAAGAAACACTTGGCCCAAGCTTTTATGGACGCTTAATTCCTGTTAAGGTTAACGTTCTCAGCCCAAGTGATAAAATGATATTTTCATTGTAAATCATCTATTTCAGCGACGAGCTGATTGTTTTGGCGTTTCCTTTATACATGAATAATAAATAAATAGAAATTACTTGTATTCGTCAAATAAAATATGATTTCCTCAATATTAATAAATGCTTCCTTATTTTCTTCTTAACTTATATGTCATATGTATGTTATTATTTATATTACTGTATTATTAAAGAAAATCTATTATCAATTAAAACTATTATTTACTGTAATAAAATGTACCCATGCAATCTAATTTCAAACGAGAATATTGGTCATTTTCCTATTACTAATTAGTCTGCTCATCACTACAAATACTCACGGATGAAATTTCTAAATTGTAAATAAAATTACTTGATAATATAGTCTAATATAATAAATTTATTGACACAAACGATGACTTAAATATACATTATATTTTGGGTTGTTCATCGTTGCTACTTAGCAGAAAGAAAATAAGGAGTTAAATTTAGTTTTATTTTGATGTTTAATTTTTAAGTTTTTTATTGTTTTTTTTTAGGGGGAGGGGTAATTTTTTGCATTGTTTGGGGAGGGAAAAAAGGGTACATACAATATTGTTTCTGGAAATTAGGGTTACAGTTTGGTTCAGTTTTATTTGATAAATATTATTATTATTATTATTATTATTATTTATATTATTATTATTATTGTTATTATTATATCATCATCATCAGTATCATCATCATCACCATCATCATCATCATAATCATCATTATTAACGGCAAAAACTAGACTTTGTATGTCTGTAAAGCAGAAAATTAGGCCTTTCCTCGTTGCCATACTGATACAATGTTTAATGTACACACAAACACCCCATTAAAAATCATTAGAAAAATACTTACTGGTACTGTGTCTGTTTGTAAAACAGAACATAGGAACTTTCCTCATTGCCATACTGATACAATGTTTAATGTACACACAAAAACCCCATTAGAAATCATTAGAAAAATACTTACTGTTACTGTGTCTGTTTGTAAAACAGAACATAGGAACTTTCCTCATTGCCATACTGATACAATGTTTAATGTACACACAAAACCCCCATTAAAAATCATTAGAAAAATACTTACTGGTACTGTGTCTGTTTGTAAAACTTTCCTCATTGCCATAGTAGGATGAGTTACATAAAAACCCATTATAAAATCATACTGAAGAAAATTATAAAGTTAAAAAAAACAAAAAAAAAAAACTATCGGGACGGCAGATCGAGGGCGAAAATTGTTCATACGTTTCACGGCAATTTGTGTTTAACTTAGCTGTAGCTAGTTTGAAACGCTTAAGAAAACACAAATTGCGTTAACATTAATCACCGTTTATTATATTCAAAATATGCAAAATGACGTCATATTTCAATATGCACATCTTTTATAGGCCTATATGATCTTTTCTTGCACAAATTTCGAAGAGAATTTAAGCACGGAAAGTGACCAAACGCAGGAAAGTGACTAACGCAGGAAATGACAAAAATCAGAACAAAAACAGTGGAACAAAACAACGCAGGAAAAGCTGAAAAGCAAAACCAAACAAAAATTATCACAAGTATTGTAATGTGCTTATATTGTGACTTTTTCCGTAAACCTTGATCAATAGTTGTTAATAAATATTCTATGCATGAAGAAACTTACATCAAATAAGCCCTAGATGAGATTGACCTTGAAAATAATAGTATGATTAATGGAGACGGGTTGAAATTGTTTTTCTGAGCACAAGTATCTCGGAACTTCCATTGATAAGCTCATCTGGAATAGCAATATAAACTTGCCTATCAGAGATTTTAAGATCGTTGTCTTAATTGTATTTTATCTTTACTGTTTGGTACCCAAGTTTGATTTTCGAAGTTTAAGAGAATAATCAGTGATGATATAAATATTTATTTATATATGTTTTACATTACTCTTTATTGTTTTGTTTGTTTCATATATTTTCTATATTTATTTCAAATTGAATGTCTGTAATATGGTACAAATATACTTTATATATATACACATATATATACATATACACATATATATAATATGTATAATATATATATAATATATATATAT